CACGCCATGATTTTTTTACAGATCTACGTGCCCCAGTGTCTAGTTTCAGAAACTGAAAACCGCAAGTCTGTAGCATTCACCGTTAAAAAGTTATAAGCGAAATATCGGAGTCCATTATATTTTGATACGGATAGTAGACACGAAACAATGAAATAAAGAAAAGAGAAATATTTTTTTTTATTCAGGATACAGTTTGTTTTCTTTTTTGTACTGTCTGATAAAAGCACATGCGCATCAGGTCGAAGATTAAGAAGAATGAATAAAATGTGTACACGAAAAAATGAAGAGAATGGAAATATAAAAAGTGAAAACTGGAGGAAAATGTTAAATGGCGTGACTGATAATACATTGTTGAGGATTTGAGCTTGTGGTAATATATAAAACAAAAGAGAAATAAAATGACAGGTATATCGAAGCATAGAACAAAAACTATAATGGAAGTAGAATATCATGTTGGCTTAGTTTTTTGGACACTGAAATATATTGTAAACTTAATTTCTCTTCGAAGGAAGATGTTCGAAAAAATCTTTTTACACGAACAAGAACGAAAAGAAGATCAAAAGAAGAAGTAGAACTTAATTATAAAGCTTGATAAAATCTAGATGTCTTTCATGTGTAGTTTTTGGTATTATAACAAGCTTACTTAGATTTCAACCCAAGTAAACATCACCTACTGACAAAGTCTGGATCAATGCTGACTGAGTTATGAATTTTCTAACACATGAAAATAGGCAGAAATGTGTTATTTCACCTAGTATAAGGTTTTGTTAGGTTCTCGAACTTTTTTCGAAAAGCAAACATCGCTAAGAGAATCGACATAGTTGAAAACATATGTTTGCATTTATTACTGAGGTCCCAAATTCTAAAAACGATCGATCCCAAGGCTTTTTTTAGAATTTTTTATTTGAATACATTTTTATTTGGTCCACGGTACTGGTGGATATTCTGTTCGAGAAGGCAGACCTTCTGAAACTGTGGATTTTCAGATCATTTTTAAGTCATTCGATAACCCCATGAATTTACTTCAAAATGGTAAAAACCAAATTTCTCCGGCTCATTCCGATCCAACGCAATTCAAATAACACCCGAGTCCACTTTATTCTGAAACAGACAGTAGCAACAGTTAAATCGAATGATTATCGGACGATAAATAAACTAGAAGAAACCTAGCAATCGTCCAATTACTAAATTTCCACTGTCATTATCCAATAGTTGCAATCGAATAAAAATCTAGTCATGTAGATGAAATAAGCGATACTAGATTTTTTTGACGCATGAGAAGATTATAATTCGTTTTAGAGGACATTGTTTATCATGCCAATCGCTGCTTTTTGTTTTTGTTGTATAATTCGATGCAATCACTTAAACATAATAAGAATAAAGTTGATATCCAATCGATCCTTTCTGAAACGTTAGTGATGACTTGTTAAAATGGAAGAGGGATAAGTTGTTGCTTTCTTAATCTTAAGTAGAAAGCAAAGTTTGTTTAACCGGATGTTTTATACAATGTTGTTATTAGCATTCCGAAAATCTGATTTGCCTTAATCTCACTGAAGAAATTTCTGCTTTAGTCAAACTCTCTACTTTTTCTCAACAATTATGTTGAAAAGTTTTCGATGACAGAAATAAAAAAAAGGATTAAGACAACACTGTTCAGCAATTCATAAAAGTTCTTAGATATTTAAGTAAAATATAGTTTCTTTGAGTTCTGGTAACGATAAGTATAATCTATCATATTATTAGGTATGCACCAGTTATAGACCATTTATTTTTTGGGGCATCCAGGAAAATCGTTATGACGTGGTCATTAAAAATCCCTTGGACTTTTGCAGAACATCTCATTTTGAAGAGAAATGTTTATTCTATGTATTTGTGCGGAAGATAAAATTAAAGATTGAAAAACAGAAATGTTTTTAATAAATCACTGGAGGGGCACGAAAACTGATGACCAGTTATCACATACAGTTATGACATTCAAAATGCTTATATTTTTTGTTACGATTAACTTTCAGTTATTTTCGCTTCAATAAATAGACACAACAAACATTTGTCTACAAAATGAAATGTTCTGCAAGTCCACACGATTCTTAATAACCGCATTATAATAATTTTTCTAGATGCCCTAATACCAGTTATATAGCTGGTGCATGACTGCATAATATGTATGTGCCTACTAAATGCTTCTAAAGATACTCGGTATAATTAGAGTTGGATAACTGTTGAGATCCTTCTTACTCAAAAAAGTCATTCTTCTCTAAATTTTTCAAAATATTTCCCGTGCTTCTATTGAAAAAAATACGATGAACTATGCTAACAAACTTTCAAACTATGTAAGCGTACCGAATTAAATATTAATTGGCGATGGTTGTATATAATTTGATACTATCTGGTATTAGCAGACATCTTTTCGTGGCGATCGAAAAGATCGTTATTGTTTTTTAAACCTTGATTTTCGATATAATACCGATGAAAAAATATGACAAAAAAAGAGTGTTCAAAATTATAAGATCTGTTGTTTTACATGCTAAAAATGTTTCCGAGAAATCATGACTAACAAGGGAACCGTTCGAAGTGCCGCACTCCGATTTTTTCGTTCAAATGCCGTTCGATAGAGTATACTGAGATAAGAGAAAGCCTGAAAGAGTTTGGGTCCATAGCTCTTTAAGGTGCGGTTTTCTGGAAAACAGAAACTCTGAAAAATAACCAAAGCCTTTCTTAATGAGGCATGATTGTGGCCCGCAAATTTCTGATTAAAATGAAATATCTCCCAGCTCTTCGCGACCTTTCTTTACAAAGTTATAGAATTTACACGAAAAGCCTTTCTTCTTATTTCTGTAGTTTTGGGCTGACAACGACATTTAGGGCTTTTCGTGCAAATTCTATAACTTTGTAAAGTTAGGTGGCGAAGAGTTGGGATAGATCTTATTTTAATCAGAAATTTGCGGACTAAATCCAACAAATCAACATTAGGTGGATGATTAATTATTGAATCGTTAAGTGAACCAGGGTTATCATTGATATAAAACTGTTTTCTGATAGTTTCCATGATTTTTAATCTTGTTGCTTTTGTTATTTGACCAAATTCGATTTTAATATCATTCTCGATATCAGGTTCAATATCATCAATTACGTTAAATATATCCAATGTTGTTTGTATAGCAAATGCAATTCTTTCAATGTTATCGGCACTTCTTTTTTCTAATCCTTGTTCACACTTATTATCCGATGACACTTTTGTTGTTATTTCACTTGGTGTTCTGTTATTACGTAATCCTTCTAGAATCGGTTGTAAATAAACATTGGCATCTGCTGAATATGCCAAATCCCAATAAAATTCGTACAACAAACAATACTTCCAAACTTGGTAATTCTTTATCGCATATTGTTTTACCTTTGAAAACATTTTCTTTTGATATACACCAATAAATGAATCGTTCGAATCAACCTGTTAAAGAATAAAAAACAAAGAAAAGAAGTCAAACATCTAAAGCAAATCTTAAGGTACTAGATTGCAACTTCAGTAGCATGCATCAAATGTGAAACATTTTGTACTACTTGTCTCCACTAGATTGGAGTATGAATATTTGACTAATCGAGTTAGGTAATTTTAACGTTAGGTCTCAGCTAATGGACTTTTTCAGCCAACATGAAATGCTTACCATTTGTAGCATTTGAATCAAAGAAATAATCCAAAATATTAGACCATTCATTTCCAGTAGTAGGAACCAAAATAGTTAAACTTCTGCCTTTTATATCCTTCGAGTACGTCATCGTGGCTTTATTATGAAGATAAATTCCATTGTATGCATTGATTATAATTGGTTGTTTTTGTTTTGCTCCTTTGGATTTCGGATCAAAAAAGTCCATTTCTATTAACCCTTTGAGGACGGGATTATTTTTTCAAAAAATAATTGCGCAATAGTAACGACACCCCTATAAGTCAAGAGCCATGATAGCTAAGTACTTCTAATTTTGTGTGATCATAGCTCTTACCAAATGCTGATCACCCACCAAGTTTGCACCTCTTTTACTGGATGGTTCATGAGATATAAGCAATTTCTTTCTTT